CAAACTGAGATCTGTGTGAACCAAGGCCCCAGGCGCCCCAGGAAATCATCCCTGTACCACACACAGTTTACACCCAGGAAACACGAACTGACCTGGGGACTGGATAACCAGTTTTAAAGGGCAATTATAATGGTTCTTCCGACTATAAGAATCCATTCTCACAACCATAAGAATGGCTCTGCATTCTTCTAGGGCATCTTTTCCTAAGAACTTCGAAAACACTCAACAATTTATTCTCGTGACATATACCTGAGGATAGGAGGAGCAAGTATTATTCTACCAGATATGGAATCTGGAAGAAAAAGAGATAATGCCATTTACTCAAGGCCATAAAGTTAGCAACAAATAATACTAGTAAAAATAAATTAAAATGGAAGACTTCAGGTCCCTAACCTAATACTTACCTCCATTAACAATGGCTGCCTCTCATCGTGTTAGATGATGGTCACTGCTGCAGTAAACAAATTTTGGCAGCACATCGGGTGGTTGTGAAGACTAAATGAATAAATTTGTGTAAAGTGCTCAGATCAGCACCTGGCATCAAGTAAAGGATTCTATAGCTGATGCTGATGATGAGGCCAATGATGGTGTTAAGTTGAAAGATCTGAAAGGCATTTGACATATTTCTCATTAGGTTTGGTCCCACCAAACTAGCTGCACACAGGGATCCCTGTGCCAAAACAGCCAGACAACTTTTCCTCACCTGGTGTTATCGACATACAGGGATATGTAATCAGTCAAAAACGCTGAGACAGAATTACTGAACAGAGCAATTTGAAAGTGAGCTAACATCATCAGGGCACGATTCAGGAGTATGAGACGTGGCCCTTGCAATTAATCCCAAGTTCCGATGCAGTTGGAAATACTAAAATAAAATCATAATAATTTAAGCAGTTATTTAAGTAGTTTAATCTGGCACCTTACCCACATGTTGGTGTGCAGACACATGACTGCCTGCTGAATGGCCAAGCCCAAGAGGCAGGAGGAGGCTCAGGTGAAGTCCCGCAGAGCAGGAAGAGAACTTGCAGAAGGATTGAGTGGTCAGAGAAGCTGGAGGAAATAGGATTTGGCCGTGAACTGACTGTACTGATAAACTTCGAGGGTGTGGACAACAGTGAGACGGCGTGAGGGCAGTATTTCCGCCAGGACACTTGTTAAACAAAAGCTGCTTCTGAGGCTGCCTCTCAGTCCCATTAGCAGCTGCCTCACCTGCGTTCTGCCTCATCTGATTCCTGAAACTCTTCTCAGTGCAGAATTATCTCATTATTTTGATCATTTGAGTGGCACACGGCATGAGTTTCAGAGCACTTCTTTTAAAAATTATCTTTCTTCTCCTCCCTCAATAATGCACGAAGATGACCATTGCAGCTGCAGCTATTTCAAGGTTTTATTGCTCAGCCATAAAAATTGTCATGATATCGAACACTAAAATGACTGTGGTAAAAATGTGTGGCAATTATATTTCATTAGCATTCCTGGAACACTTGCCACTAAGATCTTCAGAGTCCGTAGCTAATTGCTCTATCTCATAAGGTCTAGGACTTGTTCAAAGGGTTCATGGTATAAAAAGTAATTAGCATCTTTGTCCTGGCTCTTGTTTGATACAAGAATGTGGGGTATGTATGTTCATATATGTAGTGTGTGTGTGGGTATATGTGGGTGTGCATGTTTGTACATGTACGTGAATATACGTATGTATATTTTATTTTTGCATATGCATTGCCAGTGCCAAGTACAGTGCCAGACCCCAGGTGTGGTCAAGTTCAGCTCTTCAGGAAGGAAACAGCCTCTCCTTTCATCTTTATCCCATAGGAAGTCAGCAGGAATTTGGCTAATGGAAAAATGCAGGTTGTGTTCCAAATAGGCAAAGTCACTAAAGATTCTGCCTACGCTTTTGTGTTCTACAAGCATCTACTTGTAGCCTCAGCAATTCCAGGCCAAGATTATTTTTTTTAAAGGCAGAATTTTTTAATGCATGGTGGTTCTCACAAAGGAAGGTGTTCATTCTAGTTGTGTGTTTAGAAAATAGTATTTGTTTTAACGTTGATATAAATGGGTGCCTCAAAAGACATAAGGCTATTTTTTTCAAAAATAAAATTAGCCATGTTCTTCTGCCTGATAGAACACCTTGTAACCTTCTATTGGACTTGAATTATGAGTCAGCTGTCTGCTTCTTTTGCTATTATGGGCAATAAACAGTCAACTGCCAGTTTTTGAACACTTGAAGTAGAGATTACCCAGGTGGACAGATGTGCCTTAACCCCTTTGGATTGAAGACAGATACTCAAGCATCACTGATTCCCAAAGTTGGTGGAGCTATAAAAGGTTATCACTTATTTTGATGACACTTTTCACCAGCAAAAATTCTATGTGGCATGTAATTATTTCTGAATGGAGTTGCAGTCCAGTCTCCTCAAGCTAATTAGGCACAGCTGGGAGCATTGCAAACCCAGGCCTGGACAGCACTGGGGTCCGCCTGGGATGGCAGAACCGTGGAAAGGCACGTGCTGTTTTCAGCTGAGAGTGCACAGACTCAGCTCTGTCACTTGTCAACTAACTGTGGAGAGAGAGGGAGAAGACCAGGTTACTCTTCATGTTGCCAGTGTAGATGAGCTAGTAGTGTTTCACCTGTGCAACTGGAGACATCTTCTCACACCCAAGATGCCCACCACACCCACATTCAAGAATACTGTTGCTCACTCCAAGACTCATCCATCTGAGCTGTCCTCTTGGAAACCAGCCGCAGAGAGGTCCAGCAACCTGACTTTGCAAATGTAAAGCAGTGGTTCTTAACCCCAACTACACGTTAAAATCACTTTTTGAAAATCCTACTGTAGAGTCAAGAGGGAGAACCATTGATTGAACATAAGCTAGTAGGCCTTATCAAGCTGACTTCACATTTCAGGGCTTTTATTTGTTTGCTTTTAGTTAAATCATCTATCTCTACGTTAGTTAATCCTTAGATTGTTCTTGTTTCTGTTGCTTTTACACAGCTTTGTAAATAGGTAGTTGCCTTGTCCCCCGCCGAGCTCCTGCCTCTCAGGGTGGAGATGTTGTACATCTCAGACATTCCATCAAAGCCACACAAAAAAGTAGCCTGATGTGGCTTGAAGTAATCAGCTAAATTCAATAGCACCAAGAGTGTACGGGGCTAAAGCAAAATCACAGAACTGGTTCTCTGTAGCTGGGGTTTGGGAACAATATGGTAGACACTCAAAAGCAGGCGAGATAAGTCAACATTTAATGAAGGCAGGTGACTCTGGTAAGAGAAAACAAACTGTGACTCGGAACCTTGGTCCATTGTGAACGGCTGACACCATTTTGCCCATGAGTGAGTGCCACCTGTCTGCTGACCAAGCCGTCTGAGGCCCTTAACCAACCTTAACCTTGCCTCGGGACACTTGGAAACGGAAAAGTTACCCACGTGTGGCACAGGCACAACAAGAGGCTACATGAGACTTTATGTGGTGCATGAAAGAACATCTTTTATTTAAGAATTTTGTATTTAATGTATACGTGAAAATATATAACTGGCAAAACAAACACATACTTTTATAATTATCATTGCTTTGGCCACAGTTTAGAAATGTATCCATTTAAAGAAAAGTATCAGTAAATAATTACACACTGGTGATATTCATAGATGGAAGGGGAGAAAAGAGCTTCGATAACACTGCAGGATAGCATTTTGTAACAACTGTGGTCAACTTAAAATTGAGGTCATTATGTTTTCTGCTTCTGCAGTTAACATTTTAGAAAGGGAGAAGGGGGGAATAGAAAGTAAAAGGCTGGTGATTTGGTCTTTCCGATACGGAGGCCCCTGTGAAATGACCCCCGGGTGAAGCACTATTATTGCAGCCGGACGGACGGGTCCTCAGGAAACAGGAACGTGAGACCTGCAGCGGAGTTGTTACTCGTCCACAGTTGGAGCTGGCAGTGTCTGCAGCGGCCTTTTTTACTTTGCAAGTTTTAGGGTAGAGTTTTTAAAATTGATTTTAGAGAGAAAGGGAGAGGGGGAGAGAGAGAGAGAGAGAAACATCAGTTTGTTGTTCCACTTATTTATGCATTCATTGGTAAATTTCTGTATGTGCCCTGACCAGGAATGGAACCCACGGCCTTGGCGAATGGGGACAGTGCTCTAGCCAACGAGGCTACCCAGCCAGGGCCAAGCAGGTGTTTTAAAAAATCTTTTTTTGACTGTAGTTTACACTCAGCATTTTGCATTAGTTTCAGGTATACGGCATTGTGGTTAGACAATCATATAGTTACAAGGTGTTCCCCCTGATATTTACGGCACCATGCGTAGTTGCTACAATATTACTGACTGGATTCATAGGAAATCCAGTGCAGCATAGGACTGCACTTTACATCTGCACCAGTCTTGATCGAAGACTCGAACTTGAAAACCCAGTGCCTGCTCCCCGTGCGCCCCTCTTGGGAGGGTGGACATTGTGTCTTCGGGAGCAGCGCTCTCTGCTGGGTGTGTGGCGTCTGGAGCAGGGCAAGGCACAAAGGAAAACCGGACGTGTCTGGGCTGAGTGAAAGTTGGCTCGCCCTGGATGGACTCAGATTAAAGTCATCTCTGTCTTCCTCCTGGGCCACTCTTCTCTGACTCGCATTAGAAATTCAGGGGCAGAGAACAAAGCAGCCACGTTTGTTTTTCCAGAGAAGAAGGGGTCTGGGGAAAACGGCCCTGACAGCTGAGCTCTGGGGCCTGTGAATGAGGGGCTTTTACGTGTTTCACTCAAGACTCTGTTTAGTCTGGATGCTAAGGATTTATGTATCAATTTTTGGCTCTGGTGTCATTGAGGTAGTCCTGATTTCCAATGATTTTGTTGTCATCTGTATTTGCCTTCACCGAAAGAGGACTGGGAGCCGACTCAGTGCAGGGCCACTTAAAAGCTTGCCTTTCTGCAAGCACTCTCATTAAGGGGGCTGCCAGGGCTTCTCAAAACCATAGCGGCAGTGCTTAATAAGAAACACCTGGTTGGCTTTTGCAGAAGTGGCAGTGCATTGAGGACGCATCGGGCAAGCTTCGAATTCACAAGTGTAAAGGATCCAGCGACCTGCTCCCCGTCAGGCAGAGCACGCGGAACCTCTACTCTCGCGGCTTCCACCACAAGGACAAAGAGTGCAATTGTGGAGAGTCTGGCTATCGCGCCAGCAGGAGCCAGAGGAAGAGTCAGAGGCAGTTCCTGAGAAACGAGGGGACTCCGAGTAAGACACAGGCGGTGGCTGTCTCAGAGGCAGGCCGGGGCATTTGGGGACAGACACGACAGAGAGAAAAGGCTTGCTCTGTCTACATTTGAGCTATGAGCAATGCATAGTTTTAGGGCTAAAAGTGGATAATCCTTCTGTTCATAATACGAAAGCTAAGGTAAATTGAAGTTTTGCTTTGTGCGCATTTTCACTTAACCGTAGAATACAAATACAGGGGCTGGCACAAATAATGCCCCCTGATTATTACAAAAGCTTTTATTGCAAACTCACAGACACGTAATTCTGTAACATAACAATATCACACTCAAGCACACCGCACGACATTTCAGAAGAAATGTTCAAATTAAAACAATAAATTATTACACCCATATTATTACCCTACTAACCACACTTAAGCAGGTGCTACTTCTGCTGGACCCTGTATATTCATTAAAAGCACCAGACACAAAACCTGCACACCACACACAAAAGAGCTATCGAGGAGTAAACAGTATATAGTTCAGGTTGATTTTATTTTATGTTAATGCTAATGTACTGATTAGTCTGCCTTACGATGCTGTAAAAAAAAAAAACAGAGAAAATAAATCCAAGGTTTCAATGCTTGTTCACTTAACTAATAGGAAAAGCATAAATATTCATAAAAGCGTATGTGTTTTCGGACAATATATTTTTAAAATTCTTCTTCACTGGCAGAGTCAAAAAAGTTGAATTCAGTATGAAAAATCACTGCCTAGCATTTTTTTTTATTGAAAGTATCAGAGATTGTTGCTATTATTATATAGGTAAGAAAACCTAGTCCTATACAGTCCATGAAAGAATGGGGGTCTAGCGCCATCTAGTGGCATAATAGAACCCGACTCATTTCTGTGGTCAGTCCTTCTTATACTGGTTTGAAAATAACCAACATGCATTAGATTCAATATCTGTGTCCAATATTAGGAAAGCAAATCATTCACTAGAACAGTGGAAACCCTTAAAACAGGTTTTTTTATCCTGAATCGCACAGATGGGCTTTCAGGGATCATGACACCCCTAATATGTTATCCAAAATTTTAAGTATAATCTATGTGTATATGCATTTTTCTGGATCTTCATAACCTCCAACAAATTCTCAAAGGAGTTAATAACTCAAAAGTCTGAGAACTGTTAATGTGGGAGGTTTTCTTTCCTCCCTGAGAGAAAATGCCAGGTTTAATATTTTACATATCAAATGGAAAACCCACAAGGGACACGGACCCCTCTCACGATCCCTTAGCAGAAACTGATGACCATGGTCAGCTGAGAGGTGGGGGCAGCCTCCTGTCACCCAGGAACCTGGGGACAGCTCCCAAGGGCTGTCCACAACGCACAATGATTTTTCAATACAGAGTACAAACTAAGGAATTCTAGGGTACCTTTCCAAGCTGCATGGAGTCTTATACATTTGAGAGCAGGAGGGGTGTCCATAAGTGGACATTGCCCTCAGCGCAGGACTCTGCAGAGAGAAAGAGGCAGTTCTGATACCGCAGCCAATAGGCGTCTCCTTCCTCCGGTTCTAGCAGGGAAGGCCTGTGAGCATGCCGCACAGAGCCCACCTGCGTCTGGTCAGCAGGGACCCGTGTTTGCACGTTAAGCTCCGACCCAGCGCACTGTGAGCCTTGACAGTGGTGTATAGTGACCGGAAGACAAGCTGGCCTCCCCCTGGAATGAGCCTCCATCTGCCAGGTGTTAAGAGTAGTTGGCTGATGGAAGCATTCACCAAATTGAACATTTCTTAGAGTGATCCTCTATTATTTGTGAAATAGCAGGTGTCTAGAGCATCTGCCTTTTTGAAAAAGCCTCCCAAAGTAATAAGAAGGCTCTTTAGTTTTCAGACTCTGAATTACTTAAAATCTGAATTTATCTCCGTAACCTTGCAAAATGGAAGTAACGTTCAAGGCACTTCAGTCTTCTCATCCATAAAACAAGAATAAAACCAAAATCATTAGCCTATTTGGGTAATCTGATGTTTTAAAGATTTATCATAATAATACTTGTTTTTCAAGATTATAGATTAGAGATAAGTGTGAGATGAATAGCAAAGGTCAAAAAGCGATAGTCACCATTATTAATAATGATAATGAGGGCTATAATTTTATTCAAACTGCCTTAGCAGTTCATGTAGGAAATTCACTGTAGTTCACAGCCTCCCATCGGTGGAGAGGATGGCAGTGATCACCCAGGTCTGCCCCACCACTGGAGGGAGGGAGGGGGGCCCGAAGCCATGACCCTGTCTCCAAGTGGCAAAGCCAGGACTGGATTCCATCCCTCCCAGAGGTAACTCCAATGAGCTGCTCATGCCACTGCAATGCCCCACTGTGTACCGTGTGCCGCTTTTCAAAGTGCTTATCAGGCCAGGTGATCCTTTTCTTCCCCCTTCAAGCACATCTGGACACCGTATTAACATATCTTCCCTTGTTTCCAGAGTACAAGCCCAGGTTCGTCCACACTCGGCAGACGCGTTCCTTGTCAGTTGAATTTGAAGGCGAAGTATATGACATAAATCTGGAAGAGGAAGAACTGCAAGTGTTGCAGCCAAGAAACATTGCCAAGCGTCATGATGAAGGCCACCAGGGGCCAGGGGGTCGCCAAGCTGCCAGCGGTGGCCCTGGGGATGCTGCGCTGGCCAACAGTGGCAATGCTGTGGGCCTGCCCACCACCGTCCGAGTGACCCACAAGTAGGAACGGTTTATGTGTTCACGAGGGTGGAGTTCAAAGCCGTCCCCGTGTAGCACCACTACTTGGTCCCCGTATAAAATGTCACTCAACAATGTGATGTCCGAGGGCTGGCCAACATAACAGCAGGGTTAAAGGCACAGTAAGGAGCCCAAACAGTCATAGATTTGGGCGTGTGCTTTAGGTGCAATTTCACATTAAGGCTGATCAGCTGGGAATTTAGCCAGAGTGATTCTGGCACCTCTTCCTTAGCAGGCATGGAGCTCTGCCATTAAGGAGTCACCTTTGGGGCATCTAGAAAAGAGAGGGAAACCATTCGCCCCACTGGTTAGGGGTTCTTCATGGTGCGTGGTCACTGTGGCTCAGAGCAGGTGCAGTCACAGCCTCGGAAATTACACAGAGATCAAGGGAAGACCATGGGTCCTGGACAAGGCCCCAGAGAGACGGCATAGGCTTGGAATGGACGTGAGATGCAGAAGCACCTCACCTGTCCAGATCCTGAAAAGCATGGGGCCTCGGACGTCACGGAGATGGGAGGGGGATGGTTCCCCGCAGCTTTCATGGTCTAAAATCGATGGACTCTCTTGACAGAGAAGTGATTTCTTTCTGGCTACATTAGAAAAATCTTGTTTTGTCTTTCATTTCATCACTTTGGGCAGGCAGGATACCATGAGCCACATCAGACATTTATCCCTGGGGCTGGTCTCCAGGTGCCTGTCACTGTTCAAAGATTTGGACCAGTATTTGTTTCTCTGATGTTATCGATCAACCTCACCTCCCACCATCTTTCTATTGCTTGGCCTGCCTCTTCACTTCAGACATAACGGGGTGCTCCAGGCAGGCTTTTATAAAGAAATAAGTGGGATGAGCAACTCGCGATTCTAGCTGCACTTTGTCAAACAAGTCATTTCCATTATAACTATGAAAAACTCATTTTTCCCCCTACAATACTTGATGGGGCTTTCAAAGCTGGAGTTCTGGGGTTTTACCTTTTCATGGGAACATGAACACTGAGAGGTGTCTCGAAAGGTGACCTGAGCGGTGACCACTCTCTGACAGCATGCTCTGCCCACCAGTAGCCGGGAGACATTCCCACTTACCCTGGCCTTTGGCTCAGCTCCAAACCATAGCTTGTATCCAAACCAAGCATTTAGAGGACGATTAAGTTCCCTTTGCCATTTCTAATACTGTTTTAAATCTTAGATCATAGACCTATCTCTAATGTTTCTTGCTTGTTTTTATAGGTGCTTTATTCTTCCAAACGATACAATCCATTGTGAGAGAGAACTGTATCAGTCGGCCAGAGCGTGGAAGGACCACAAGGCGTACATCGACAAAGAGGTGAGCGTGGCCGTGCGACCGGAAGGAATATTCCCAATGCAAGCCGGGCTCGCCTGTCCTACTGGTGGTACATGTTGTGTGTACCCGTCACCTTTGCGTAGTTATATGAAAAATAGAACAGCAAGGTATTTCTCATTCTTCAGTGACACGGTGATAGTCCTGACCGAAAACAAAATAGAGTGTGAGAGAAGAAGGGGGCCCCAGAGAGATGGTGTAGTTGGGAATGGACGTGAGATGCAGAAGCACCTCACCTGTCCAGATCCCGAAGAGCACGGGGCCTCGGACGTCATGGAGGCGGGAGGGGGATGCTTCTCAGTGACCTTCTGAAGTCTCTGTGAGAAAATAACTCAGTTGTAAAGGAGGCACCTGTCAGTGCTCATGATAAGACGTCAGCTGGGATACAGAGGGAGATATATTCTATGCTCGGTTTGTTTCCACGTTAATTATTATCTCCGAGGAAGGGCTGTCATCATGGAACACAGAAAATGAGGTAAAAAGAAAGGTTCTTAGCCCAGAAAATCCTTAGAAATGTTATTGTCGAAGTGCATGTTTTCCAGATCGAAGCTTTGCAAGATAAAATTAAGAATTTAAGAGAAGTGCGAGGGCACCTGAAGCGGAGGAAGCCCGGGGAGTGTGTCTGCAGTAAACAGAGGTGAGCTGGGCGCAGCCGGGCCGCACTCCACACTCGGGCTTTGCACGGGCTCCGTGGGTCAGCACTGGGCCTGCTTCTCTCTTTTACCAGTAGAAAGATTAATAAAATGAATGTATTATTATATGTTTGTAATGACCTAAATTATTTAGGTCAACATGTCATAAACCTACACAGACAGGGAAAAAATTAAAATTGTAAGTCCCATTAAGCTCAGATAGTTACAATAAAGTAACTGAGAATAAACTCTTTAACAAATGCATGATTAGGAAGACTCACTTTTTCATCTTCTTCCTGTAGCTATTACAATAAAGAGAAAGGTGCAAAAAAACAAGAGAAATTGAAGAGCCATCTCCACCCATTCAAGTGAGTATTGCAACCCCGTGTCCCACAGTTGCTGGAAGTAAAGGACTGGGTGCTAGGCAACCCTGAAAGGCCGCGGGGACTCCTGTGTGGTCAGGGAGCCTGCTCGGGAAAATGTGGGTGCCGCTGGGAAAGCACAGAGCCCCAGGCCTTGAGAGCAAGCCCACACCTTGCCCAGGGAGCATGGCAACGCCAAGGGCTCCTCTGGGGGAGCCGTGAGCAGTCCTCCGACTCTGTGTGTGCTCTCGCTGGCGGATGCTTGGTCACTGGGTTTTACTCCGTGCACAGCTTGGCTCTCTGTGCACGGTGACTGGGAGAGGGCGTCTCCTGCGAGGCCCACGTGTCCTATAGAGCAGCCAGGCATCGTGGTGAATTCTGAAAGTTGGAGGAAATATACGTGGTTTTTAAATAACAGTAAACTTTGCAAGGGAAAGGGATTTAGTACTTGAGTCTCAACAAAATGGGATCCCTTTTGGCAAAAACAAAATAATTTTTTTTAAAAAGACAATTCTCCCCAAGCCTATATTGCCCAATTTGTCAAAGAATTTTGGAAACTTTGAAACGCAAGCCATCGAATCCAGCTGCTGAGGTCCTGGCTGACAGGTGCTGAGCCACCAGGCAGTTAAGCCGTTGATCCAGAGAGGTAGCTGGCAGAACCTGCTGGTTCACCTTGACGTTTATTGGCATCGATGTTTACGTGTTACGTACGGAACGAAATGTTGATGCTGTTAAGGCTCAGTAGAGTTCTAAGAGAGCTGTCACAGTGAGTTTGTCCCCACTGTTACTGATGATATTTGAGGGCCTCTGTGGAAAACAAAGGTCATCTATTAATTGTGTGTCTCTTATCATGTGTGTGGATATTTGCGCCCAGTTCGTAACAATACTCCTCTGTTTAACTGAGAAGGTGCTTTCTGGTCATTCAAAAAATCCCTTCTGTGCGAATAGGGAAGCCGCCCAAGAAGTGGACAGCAAACTGCAGCTTTACAAGGAGAACCGCAGGAGGAAGAAGGAGAGGAAGGAGAAAAAACGCCAGAGGAAGGGGGAGGAGTGCAGCCTCCCCGGCCTGACCTGCTTCACGCACGACAACAACCACTGGCAGACCGCCCCCTTCTGGAGCCGTGAGTCCCTTGGTGTCCTACACGCCACAGTGCTTCATGTCACAGTGACTCAGACGAGGAATTCAGTCTCCTGCAGCCAGCACTCTAGAATCGTCTAGGCATCCTGTTGTTTTCTGTACCGGCAACTAGAATCGTTTTGCCAGGAATGACTTTTTTCATTAGAATGTTTTTTTCAATTTTGTTTGAAAATACAAAACTGTCCCTGAGTTTTTCTCCTGATATTGTACATACCACCCAGCCCCTCACAGAGTTCCCGCCCAGGAAGACTACTCTATACCTAAACAACTAAATAATTGGGTGAACAGATTGGCCCCAGATATATGTCGCCTGTGCTCTATTTCAGGTGTACACTCTTAAGTCAGGGGTGTCAAACTCATTTTCACCGGGGGCCACATCAGCTTTGCAGTTGCCTTCAAAGGGCCAAATATAATTTTAGGACTGGATACATGTAACTGCTCCTTAACTGTTAAGGAGGTGAAATTACATTCAGCCCTTTGAAGGCCACTGTGAGGCTGACGTGGCCCCCTGTGAAAACAAGTTTGACACCCCTGCTCTAAGGATAATAAAAGGAAGTAAAAGTTCCTTAGATGCAGGAACCATTTCCTACTGAGCCTGAGCCCCTTCAGCACCCAGCCCTCTGCTTGCAGAATACCATTAGGGAGTCCACAAAATGTCTGGTTTAAGTGAAATTGCTAAGGAAACAATAATCACAGTTGTGCACTTTTGAAATTAATGCTTCTATTTGCTTTAGTGGTCCAGGGCACAGACAAGTAACACCCTCAATTCCATAGCATTTTACCCGATGGAAAGGTCATCCTCCGAGGAGTAGCTGAAACTCCACTCCGGTTAGGGTTTCTCAGACTGGGGTTCAGAGACATCCAGGAATCCCAGACTGTTCTTGGAGGGATCTAGGGCCTAATGTGAGGATTTTTTTTTCTGCAGCAATACTTCTTATTTTAGTGTCCATGTTTGCATTTAAGTCTACAGTCACACGAAGGCTGAGCAAACTCTTCAAGGCATAGCATGTAACTTTAACATGCATCCCTAAAGCAGGATATGGGGATCTCTGGGGGTCATTCCAATGGCCAGGGCTCCTTTCTCAGCCAGGCCGTGGGCTGAGCCCTGCAGACACAGCAATGAACAAGATGTACCTCGTTCTCTGCCCTCGTGACACTTATGGTCCAGTGGGAGGGGAGGTGTCATAAAGTGAAAAGTGAAATAAGACAATGACAAGGCATGCTGATGCTATAAGGAAACAGTGATCTTTGAGAAGGCGGAGACAATGGGCCTTCCTGAAGAGGTGAGCTTAAGCTGATACCTGAGGGTCCAGAGAAGCAGCCCATGTGAAAGGGGGTCGTGGGTGGGAGGGTCAGCGGCCCAGGCAGACGGAATAGCAAAGGCAGGGGTCCTGGGGAAGCAACAAAACTTCCTGTGTCAGCGCTGGCAAGCCCCTTCGAAGATGAAGCATTTGGGAAATATGAAGCTATAGTTGGCTCGTAACTTGCACAGGAGGTGCCTCCGACTCTGTCAGCGTCTCCCCCTCTGAGTGGAGACCATGCTGCCCAAGACGCCACCACTTCTGACCTCAGCCTCTGCAGAGCATCCTGTGTGTCCCCAGACTCCTCTCTTGCTATTGCCAATCCATTCCGCTCAGAAAATGTAGCGTTATTGTTTAATGACGTTCTGCTTTCCTTAGGATAAAAAAATCTTTAACATGTCTAATGAAATCCTTAATGTGCCCATGGTACTCTGGCCCATTTCCCCCCAGGCCCACCCTCATCAGCTGCTTGACTTCTCTCTGCCACAAGCATCCCAAGCTCAGGGACTTTGCACACACTGCTCCCTGCCCTGAAAGGCCTTGACCCTACACCCACCCGAACCCCTCCGCCTGACCCAGACCACGCTCACCCTGAGTCCACTGTAACATCGCTTCTCACAGAGACCTTCCCTGTGTCTCAGACGATGTGAAGACCCTTTTAGACACTCTGTCAGCCGGTTTTTTTTCTCCATAGAACTTAACCACATTCATAATTGTGCCGTTTCGGGGGTTGTTTTTAGTATTTTGCTTTTGTTTTTGCTTAACATTTGTTTCCACTCCTACATGTAATTTTTCTCAAGATAAGAGACCAGACCAATTCTGGGAGATGCTGTACCCCCAACACACAGGAGTTGCTCAGTAAATATTAGGTGAAGGAACAAACAAATAAACAAATAGGCAAACCACCTAGTCCAAGGTCAAATCAACTCATTTCTCATAGCAAATCTATATAGAGAGGGAGGGAATATAGTTATTTTTAACATCTACCCACAGAGTACCTTCAAGAAAGAAAATGTGAATCTTAAAGCGGAAAGATAAGGCGACGTGGGAATAGCTAGTCCACCCCCACTGCTCATTCTTTTTGTCTTGTTCTCTTTTTTTACCAACAGTGGGGTCGTTCTGTGCCTGCACCAGTTCCAACAACAACACCTACTGGTGTTTGCGTACAGTTAACGAGACACATAATTTTCTCTTCTGTGAGTTCGCCACGGGCTTTTTGGAGTATTTTGATATGAATACAGATCCTTATCAGGTGAGTCGCTATGTTTTCACTCTGTGAAGGTTATTGGAGGTAGAATAACAGGAACATGGGCCTCAACGTGCCGTCCTGGCTCTTTGTCCACAGCTCACGAATACGGTGCACACGGTTGAACGGGGCATTTTGAACCAGTTACACGTACAGCTGATGGAACTCAGAAGCTGCCAAGGGTATAAGCAGTGCAACCCAAGACCTAAGGGCCTGGAAGTGGGTAAGGAAACTCATTTTCTTCCTGTGTTACCTGGAAAATCCTTGGTGTTGTGAGGTTTCCTGCCTTTGTGATGTCTATGTGCACAAATGCAAACCGTTTGGGACGCTCACAGGGGAAGCTCTCCAGGAGATTCCAAACACGATTTCTTCTCTAAATTTAGCGCTGGGTGCATTAGTGAAAAGTTAAACACACCAAAAGACTGGGTGAGCTTTTTGTTCCAATCTCTCCTATTAATAAGCCCCAATTTCAGACTGAAGCGTCCACCGGAAGATGAGATTAAAGCACTAGGGATTCATTTGTTATTGCTGTCAACAGTCATAGATATACTTTGTGTAAACCAGGAGATCCTGTTTTGTAAGAGTACCCTATTTTTGCTTATGACAGCTTGGGGCTCCCCCGTTGGACCTCTGCCCATGACACAGTGACTTGATTTCTTTGGTGGCGTTTTCCACCCGAAACTAGAGCTATCTGAGCCATTCATCGACTTGGATCTAACAGTACGAGAGAACTTCCGTGGAATCAGGCAGATGTCCCCACCGTGGTCTACAGACTTAAACTAACTTATTTCTCCTCCGGCTCACTGGGATGCATTGTCTGTCCCTCGGTTGATGAGAATACTCATTTTCTCATAATTCTTACAGAAATGTAAATGCCAGCTATCCATAGAAGGAAGGGGAAAGAGCTGACTCTGGCCAGGGCCGTGGCATCAGCACAGCGTACGACCAACAGCGTGCTGAGCTGGGCCTACAGGCCGAGCTGCCCGTTTGCAGGAATCTTTGCTGTGCGGCTGAGTCCTCTATGTCCTTCACTACCTGCGCCTCTGTGGGCCCCACTCAGAGATAGAGGTTGGGGGTGCCCTGAAAGTGCCAACCTCGCCACCTGTCATTGCCACCGTCATAAGATCCTGAAGGCGTTTGAGCTGCGACAGCCCCATAAGAAATCATAAGTCCTGTGAGAGGGGCCCCGTCTCAGCCATCTGTCAGCACTTCTCAGTTCACACCCTAGCGAAATGAGCGGCCAGCCGGGAGGGTCCGGTCCTGGCTTGCAAACTGGGTCGTCTGGTCACTGACCCCACTTTGCTCAAATCTTTTCAGATTATCTGCTTATCTGTTGACCTTTTCCTCAATTCTTGCAAAAAAAAAAGGAAAAGAAAAAGCCCACAAAGGCCTGGAAACTAAACCAACTGTTTGAGGCACTGGAAATATTACACCAAGACATTTCTCCCCCAAAGAACAGAGCACTCGTACTGGCGATGACACAGCCACTCTCCTCAGTGAAACTTGACCGAGCGGTTGCACGGCGAGTGACTCACAGGTGGGGCCACTTACCGCTGCGGGCCTTCACATGGTCCTCCCCGCTTTCTGGACAGTCCCTGACGGGGGTGATCGTTGGCCTTTCTTTCCAAGTGCTGTGTCTACAAATAACTGAAGTGTCACTTTTACTGAGACTCAAACAGACTTCTGGAAGCACTGCCTGACTGTTTTTCCATGGCCTCTCTCCTCTCTCAATCCCACTCATTTTTCGTGTGAAAACTGTTATATGTGTTTTATCTTAAACATTTGTATTTATAGCTTTCAATCCTCATTTTGAACCTGTCTAATAGAAAAGCTCTGTTGGACTTCAGCACTGTCTGCATTTAACCCAATATGTTTCTTTCTAGGACTTTAGATGTGCGTGGAACACTGCGTAGTGAGTGATTTTATGAGTCCTAACGCTAACATAAATTACTCTTGTATTTTCCTATATCAGGAAATAAAGATGGAGGAAGCTATGACCTACACAGGTATCCACACTTTTTTATTCTCTCTGGCAGCTTCTTTCCCACTAATTGCTTGCTGCAGCCATTTCGACTAACTCCTGCTTCTGACCGCACTGCATAGAGCATGTGCTTGTCCTAACAGCACTCACCACCACCCCACGTCGATGGCTGCAAATGCGTTGTTTTGTTTTAAAATCAGCTCATGTCTCAGAGCGTTTGCTCACCCCCGTGCCTGTTCGCTTGCTGAACGATGCTTTTAAGTATGGAGTGAGTGAAGGGGGGAAACAGAATGACCTGTGGGAGCTCGGGGGAGAGGGTGGGACTGTTGTGCTCCTTGTGGTTCCTTGTGTTGATTTGCTGCAGAGGCTTCATGGAAACCAGTGAGAATTTTTATGAAATATAATGTCAAAAGCAAAAAAAAGAGTGAGGGGAATTTTAAGGGCATTCTTAAGCTGAAGTTGGAGGGAATAGAAGAACTTCTTGGTTAACAATTCCTAGTTAACCTTGCTGGTGAAAAGCAGCAGTCGATACGATTCGGACGGCTCTGCAGGGCGGGTTTGTGATTAGAGAGACGGTGCTGGGGTTGGGGACGTGGTGCCAGGAGTGGCACATGCAGGAAGGTCTCGGCCTCACGTGGAGACGATGCTGCCTGACCCACAAAATTTGATGGAAAGGCCCAGCCCAGGTATCTCCCTCCAACCGCCACTCCCATCCTTCTTACCTCCTGGTGCTCTGGAGGGCGCTCCCAGAGGCCTGGTGGCCAAGTCACTTGGTCACCCAGCTTTTGTTTGCCCATTTTCATAGACCTCGGGCGTGTTTGTCAGAAATATGCCATGTGGGGCTAGAGTGACCACCCCAATTGTGGGGAAACTGAGGTACGATATGTCAGCATCTCATTAATGAATCCACCTAGAAGAAAAACTTCCCATCAAAGGCACGTGGACTGAACTGGTGCCATCCATACTGATATCATCTCAGAAACCAAAAAATGCTGGTGTGTCAGGGCCACATGTGGGCCCACAGCCCCCGTCCAGCCTCCGGAGCTGTGGGGTCTCAGGTCCCTCCTGTTAGAAGACCACTCCATGGTGAGGCCTGGCGCAAAACAGTAGGAAAGGTGGTGGGATGATAATAACAAATGAAATGAGGAGAGCTGGACTGTTGAGGTTCCGCGGTAACATTTTTATGTCTCTTCTTTTTCTCTTCTCTCTCGACTCCTTTCCTCTCGTCACTCTGCCCCACCGCAACCCTGTGTCTCCCGTAGCCCACGAGGGACAGAGCAGAAGAACCCACTCTTAAGTTGGTCGCACCCAGGATACGGGCTGACAAGGTAATACATCCCCCCCACTACACACCAGTGCAGTTTCCCTGGGGAAACTTCAGACACTTCCTAAGTGTGACATTTTAAATGGACCTAACACTAAATACTGACTCTACGATTATTTTATTATGGACTCAGATTTTACAGCTAAGGGATTTTCAGGGTGGCCTTTTTCACATGTGTCCTGAGGGAGGTAAAGGGATTATTTAGAACCGTCTGGTCAGAGCCTAGCCAGCATTTTTCTCCCCCAAGTCATCCCTGGACACCTTTGAGATGAAAAACGCTTAGTTGTTGCTCTCCATTCGAAATTAAATGCAAGCAGCTGGTACTCTCTCCTTCCCTGGTCCCTGCTGCCACCTCTACACAGGCCAAATCGGTCATTCCAAGGTCGCCTGGTGCAGCTTTGATAACCTGAGCTGTCGATGGCGTCTCTTCTCTGCTCACATGGCCGTTGAAAATGTGTGTGCAGGCAAATACCTGCTGCTTTTTTTTTCTCCTAAGTTTCTTACCAAAGCACAGATCTAAGGATGCTCTCTAACCCAAAATGACTGGCATTGTCATCATCCGCCATTCCGTCACTGGTGAGGCAAGCTGTCTTTCCATCACAGTCCATGTTGCAGGCAGGAGATCACGGGACAGGATTACCGAGTGCGTTTGCCTGTCACACCTGGGGGCTCAGATGCAGTGTGTGATGTGGCCTGCCCAGCTCCCTGTATCCTGCTGGCGCCCAGGCAGCGGCGCAGCACCGGCCACTGTGTGCGTGGAGCTGCTGGGAAAACGGCCGTGTCCCGGCGGGGGTTCCTGACACGCAGCCCTGCAGGGACGACCCTCTATGGGGCTTCAGACGCCTTGGTTCTTTACGATTCTGATTTTTCTAGAAAACTAATTAAGATGCATTTTTAATCATGACACTTCATTACAAATGCCTTTGAGAAAAATGATAACATGCTAGCATGAAGAATTTGAAATTTGAACATTCAAATGTAGTTTACAAAATGTATCTCTTACAAGATGGACTAAGGAAGAGTTTTCACGCTGCCTTCGGTTGTGTGGATTTTGAAAAACTAATCCTTAGGTTTATTTAAAAGGTCTTCAAAAAGCAGGTCTGTTTCCCACTCATCTTCGTGATTTTTTGTGTATGTGTTTTTTGCTATGGTGTATGGTATGGGGCAGCCGACACACTTTCCCGGACACCGGTCATCTTGTAGTTAGGACAAGCTCGGAGTAAGGACACAGCCCAGAAAGTGGCCCCCAGGACTCAGGAAATCATTTCTGGCTTGAGTTGAAAGCAACAGTTTCTGTGTTGCAAGATAGTGTACGATCAACAGGTTGCTGGGGTGTCAGTTTCGCCCATTGCCTATGACAGCTGCTGCTGCTGCCCTCTGCTGTCCGACACAGCGTGTGTCCCGCCGGACTTGGGGGGCAGATAGTCAGGCCTGGGCAGCTTAATGCCGCAGGGCTGCTTCCTGATCCCTCTGTGACGCACCCTTCAGGCCAGCAGCCCACATCCTGCTCCACCTCAGCAACCGTGCTCCTGTCCACTTGTTTTGCCTCTTTGATTCATCTCCCGTGTAGCCACAGTCCGTGCCTTGCAGATGCGTGCGGGTGACGCAGCTTTGTGTTAGAAGCTGTATAGTCCTGTGGTTAGAGTATAGACACCGGAGCCAGCCTGGGCTCAACCCCTGGCCTTGCTAGTAGGAAGCAGAAACCAGAGTCTGGCATGTGTCAAGGCCTAACACCGATGGGCATTATTAGTAAAGTGCGCTGGGGTGTGCAACATTTAAATGAAGGAGACGGTATGTGAAAGGGGATAAGTGATGTTATCATTTCAAAGCATGTTACCATATTTCATAAGAAACACAGAAAGAGGTATTATTCATCAGCACCACCACCATCTCCATCATCACTCATTGGTAACCAGGTTTCTGCACACGAATCCACTGAACCGCTGGAGCCTCTCAGATCAGTGCCCCTGCCCTGTTCACACTAGTGAAGCTTCCCCAGCTTCTCCTCTCGTTCACATCTCAGGACTCCCTTTATTTCAGGCTGCCTTGCCAGCACTGCTAGACTTTCCTGTTTAAGGTGCTTGACCAAGAGATGGGTTAGGATCAGGGTTTGGGGCTATAGGGACAGGAAGTGAGAGCAGGTCCCAAAGTGACGAGGGGACTTAAGGTACAAGTTGTTCAGATGTGGATCAAAGAGCCAAGGTCACCGCGTGCAGTTCTGTGTTTTGCACCCTGCACAGAAGCATGTCGTGGAGGGACAGCTAGGCACACTAATGCAGCCGGAGCTCTGCTAGACACGCCACACTAGCTGGTGGGGTCAGTGTTTCTTCGCACCACAGTGGCCACCCTAGTCAGGACGAGGGTCGATCTAAGCTCCACGTCTGAGCTCTAAAAGAATGCTCATAACTTGGCCTTACTTTTGCAATAGTGATTCAAACCCACAGGCTTTATTTCTTGTGCCGCAGAAGAGGAGACTGAAGTGTCGCATTTTTGGAACTTGAAGACCCTTCCCAAACGATAGAATGAAATTTACCCTTGAACGGCCTCAATACACAGGAGGGGGGAATGAGAGGGGAAAAATTAATCTTTTCCATCCATTTATTAAAGAAAAAAGGAAAGAATCCAAATGACCACCTCTCTGCAAGGTACTGCCTTCAAGGCCATAGTTCAGCCTATAATTACCACGGAGAATGCAGAGTGCTTTTACGGAGGAAGACACGGTGCCAGGAGCCACGTGAGAGCCCCCAACCCAACCTGAGAAATCAGGGGGGCTTCCCCAGGGGGTGCCATTTATGCTGCATGCTGACGGCACAGACTAGAAGTCCATCCTCCTAAAAGGGACAGTTTTTGCAAAGGCATGATTCAGTTGAGGATTGTGATCAGTTCAATGAGGGTACAAGGGAAGGGAGAAGTGAGTGATGAACTGAAGAGGTAAACGGCCTATTTTATGATGAGTGTTGTTTGTAGGGGGTGCATATAATTTATCTTCCAAACAGGGATGTTTTTGATCTCAGAGGGGGTATTATACTATTAAAGTTATATAAATTTGATACGTCTTTACATAGATTATAAATCTACTGTCCGGTGAATTGGTCAGTAGATTTATAAAATAATTGTATTTAAATACTCTTTTCCAACCTAAAATTCCAAAACTTCTGGACAAATGCTACACTGATCAGGATGCCGGCACAACAGGCATAAACGAGGATCACCCCGGGCAGACGGGACAGTTTGGTCTCCTAGCGAGGAGTCGTACCAGAGGATTTGGTCTTTATCCTGAAACCAATAGGGAGATATTCAAGAGTATTAAATGAGGAGAAAAAACAGGAGAGCATTGGGGTTATTCGGATGAGGTCGCACAAGTAGTTGTGAGAACGGTTTTGTGGGTCAGGTTGGGCACATGTTCCGGCTCCATTGCCCCCTGGTTTGGGGACCCTGTGCTAAGAGTGCTGTGTAACCCGCTGCGTTCTGGCACTCTCCTAAGTCATTTAATCATCACAACAACTTTGTGAGGTCGGCACTAGGCTTCTCCCCATTTTACAGATGAGAAAGGTGAGTCAGAAGGAGACTAAGTAAACTTCCCAAGGTTATGTACCCGATACACGGTGGGATGGGTAGTCAGACCAGGGCCCTGGTTCTAGCATGTGCTTTCAGTCTCTACACCGGACTGTTTCTCTTGGACAATTTATTTAACCTTTTTATGACTTAATTTTATCATCTATAAAAAGATGATAATAGTACACACACGTAATAATACATATGCATAATAATATATAAGAATTACATGAGCTAACCTGAAAAGTGATTTGCACAAGCCCAGAATTTAAGTTATTGTATGACCGATGTTTCGTTAAAAATTTAAGACCCATATAAAATTCCACTTCAGTCTAAAACATGTTTCCCTGACTGGTACAGCTCAGTTGGATGGGCGTCATCCCACAAAGTGAAAGGTCACCAGTTCGATTCCCGGTCAGGGCGCATGCCCAGGCTGCGGGTTCAGTCCCCAGTCAGGATACATATGAGCTGCAACCAATAGGTGACTCTCTCTCACAATGATGTTTCTCTCCCCCTCTTTCTCCTTCCCTTCCCCTCTCTAAAAACAAATAAAATATTTTTTTAAAAAGTCATCCAGCAAGAAACGTGGCTCATCCTGAAACCCAGGTGGATTTTTGAATTTTTGCTTAGTTGTTTCAGAACCTTTCTGCCTGGGGTTGGATAAGACTTACCTATGACTGGAGATCAGCTACATTGATTTCCAAAATTCACTTTTCCAAAGAAATGTACTCACACCTTCCCTTCCTCAGTCAAGAACTGCAGGATGGTCCAAGAAAAGGGCATTATTTTGTGCAGACCGGCAGAAAGCAGGACAGACATGTGTATCAACAGCCATTCCTGTGGATACAGAGGTGTGAATACAGCTATTAGACATATTTTCAAATAATGTCCTTAAACTGACACCTGCAGCTCTAACTCAACGTGAGGTTCACCTGGTCCTCCTAGTGGCAGTATTACAACTGTCCTTTCCAGCAGTGGGAGGTGTAGTCCCGTTGGCCTCAGTGCATTCACTCATTTGTTCTAAGGAGCACCGAAGGCAGTTTCAGTAAAACATGCTGCTGCAGAGACAGTCCTGCTAAACAGAAGCCGATATACTTTTGCACACTTCCTGTCAGTGTTCAGAGTTACTTGGGCTCATTCCACGCCATCCTCCGCACCCTTGGTTTATTTGTTTGTATTCCATTTTAGGCTCCATGTTTTTCTCATCGTTGTTAATTTAATCTTGTTTTTCAGTAGGCGGTGCATTAGCATAGTTCCAAAAGCCAAAATTTCAAAAAGCCTCCGCAGAGAAATGTTACTGTTTCCCACACCCCCTTCTCACCCGTGTGCTGGAGACCCCCGGTCTCCTCCGTGTCCTCCTCACCTTCCTGTGTTTGTCGGTGTAGTAATACCCAGATGTGCATATTTTATTTTTATTACCTTTCTACACAAAAGGCAGCATACTATATATACTATTTTGCATTCAGTTTCGTTTTCACTTAAAATATGACTTTCAGGCCTGACTAGTGTGGCTCACTTGGTTGAGTGTCATCTCAAAAGACAAAAGGTCACTGAATCAATTCCCCGTCAGGGCACACATCTGCGTTGCAGGTTCAGTCCCAGTCGGGGTGCGTACGAGAGGCAACAGATCCTGTTCCTCACATCAATGTTTATCTCCCCCTCTCCTCCCTCCCTTCCCCTCTCTCTGAAAGTAAAACAATGAATTTAAACATGATTTTCACTTGAAAATATATCCTCAGAGCGATTGTCCCATTCTGTTTTCATTGCTTCATAGTACTCCACTGTGTGGGTGTGCTGTAGTGGATTCAACCTCTTTTGTTGGTGGGCATTTCAGTTATTATAGTTTGCAGTTACGGATGGTGCTACAATGAAGTCTTGTGCATGTATACTGCATACTGTTGAGGATCCTTCAGAGAAAATTCTTGGTCGTGGGATAAGTGAGCCAACAGGTAATGGTTGTAATAAACATTGCCGCACACCCCCCCCATCGGGTTGTGCGGTTTTGCATTCCCATCATTGGTGCATGTGTCTGCTCTCAACAGCTGTCAAACTTTCAAATTTTTTTCTAATCAAATGAGAAGGAAAGGATATTTCAGTGTGGTTTTATTTGCATTCATCTTATAAGTGAAGTTGAACATGTTTTTGAAAATTTAAAGGCCATTTTACTTATTTTCTTGAGATTATCTGGTCGTGCCTTCTGCCCATTTTTCTATATGGTTCTTTAAAGGATCGCCAAGAAGACTGAGTAACTTTATGGTACTAATATCAAAACACAAAGGCTACCTTCCTCTTGCTCAAGTACACTTCCAGGTCTTTCAGGAGGTTATTCGAGTATTTTCTTATCTGTGTGGCATGGTTCTGCCTAAGTTTACTCATTAATACTTGGTCTTCTTGGTTACTATTGTAATAGGGCTTTCCTTCATCATTAAAACCTGTACCTGATTTTGTTATATATTCTTATTTATTTTTAGTCCATCTGACCTGTGTTGGATTGAGTATCTCCTATTATTACATTTCTGTGTATTTCTCATTGTATCGTCCACAGGTAGCTTCTTCATAAAGCTGGTTGCCCTTTTCTTCCCCTTTGAAGCTTAGTAGGGTTTGTATTTTTGTCATATTGGTTGCTTTTGAACTTATACCTATTTAATGTCCTTAGTCCCTGTTTTTTATTTAATCCTTTGTTATCCCTTCGGTCGGGTTTGAATGGCGTTCTTTGACTCCCAGCTATTACTCAACTATACTCTCAATGAGCTGCTTCTCTTTCAGCTTTTCTATTTTTTCCTCTCATTTCTAGTTTCATTATTTCCACGTTGCCATCTAAAATATGTAAATATATTTTTATCTCCCCCGCCTTTGTTTTACTCCTAGATCTGATCAATAACACGGGGGAGCAAAAGTAGAGTTATAGTTGTGAGAACGAGAACCAGAGTTTACTCTTACGTTATTACTTATTTATGATTGTATTATTTTCCATGTGAACAACTCTAAACCCACTTTCGCCTGCCCCGTACATCAAATGCTCACCACTGATTCTTTTGCCGAAGTTTCCCCAGTGATTTTTTTGATTGAATGAAACTGATCCTTTAAAAGACTGTTCTAGAAGAGCTGATATATACATATTCCCTGCATTCTTACAATCTTAAAACTTTTTCTATAGCCTTGGTACTGAAAGAGAGCTTGGCTGAATATAAGATCCTTGGCTCATACTTTAATTTCTGATTTAAAGTGGTTTTCGCGCCATGACTGGTGTGGCTCGGTGGACAGGGTATTGTCCAGCAAACCAAAAGGTTGCTGGTTGGATTCCTGGTCAGGGCACATGGCTGGGTTGCAGGCCAGGTCCTGGGTTGCTGGAGGCAACCGACTGATGTCTCTTACATGTGTTTCTCTCCCTCTCTTTCTCTCTCGCTTTCCCTCTCTGTAAACATAAGTAAAATAAAATGAAATTCACTTTAGAAAAGTAAAATAAGGTGGTTTTCACGTCCTCATGTGCTTGATTTCATTTACTTTGCAGTGTTGCGTTGTGGCTTTTTTCACATTATTGTTTACTTTTACAGGGGCATTTCCATAAAATGGATTTTTTTCTTATTATTTTATTTTATAACTTATGTAGATTTAGGCTTCTTTTATTAATTTCATGGATTGGACATATTTGCAAGATTCCTAATTTAAGATCTTTTCCTGTCAGTGTAGCCATGTGTACTTTCTACGTTTTAATTTAATTGTTATTTGGGAGTGGGAGTAGGAAAGATTGCGTGCCCTCCAATTTTTTGTTTTTCTATTTTTCTTGCAAATCTGAAATTTCCCTTCTTTTCTTTTCTTTTTCCTTATCCCCCAGGGTTGCAAAGGGTGTGTCTCTCTTCCTTTGAATTCTTTTCTCCCCGAAGCAGCGCCTGCCAGACGCCTCCTCAGTTCACACTCACTGAAGTCCTTTCCCTGGGGGCCCCTCTGTGATTCTCCAGGACTCCACAGTACTTTATATCTCAGGCTGATGTGCCTTCCAGCGATAGTTTCAGATCAGTTTTAACTCCACCCTCACTTCCCTCTGCTCTCGTCCACACCATTTTCCAGGGTTGTGCCCAACGTGTGACGTACAACTCTGCTGGGATTTTTTTTTCCTCTTAGTTACAAGTGATTTGAAGCTTCTGTAATTTTCTGTCTTCTAGTTAAACTGAGATTGGGGGTTTTGTATAGTTTTACTTATCCTTCCTGCCAATCCATATTGCTGCCGGGTTGTTCACTGCATTAATGCAGGCCGCCTCTTTAGAGCTACACTTGGACACAACTAGAGAAAAGATGTTTTCTGCAGATCTGTGGTCATCTCCATGTTGTAGAAAGATCTCAGGGAAAGTGGGGGCAGGCTTTGCCCAGTGTGAGAACCACTGAAAGACTGATCTAGCCAGGACGTAGAACTCTTAGGGCAAACAACAACAACAACGAAACAGAGTCAAGCAGTCGATTTGAAGACTTTAACTGCATTCAAGTTTGTTTTTGTTCTGAGTACCAGGGACTATAAAATAAAGATATCATACTAAGCACTGCCTGTCACACTATAGTACTTTCAGCTCCATCATTCACCAGCTAACCCCACAAGAGTAAAGGCATTGTCACACCAGTATTCCCACACTGACACACGAGGGCCCCAGACTCAGAGCTCACTCACAGAATTTTGTGGCAACAGAGTTGGCTTGACCAGAGCCAGGAGTAAAAGAAGCCCGCTGACGGTGCCCAGTCACAGCCGTTTCCACTCGGTTGATCATCTCTCCATGTTTCTGTTATTGTTCAATCACTTTTGGAACCTAAGACCACTCCTTGGTAACAGATTACTAGGGGGAGATGCTTTTTAGAGGTATACTTGAAATTGATTTGCTTTGTGAAAACAATGCAAGTTGCTAGTCCAGCAATAGGAAATCTTTTCCCCACTAACGATCTGCCTTCATGTCTCTTCACAGAGGACAGTTATGGGATGGGTGGGAAGGTTAGCCTTCCCAGTCCCACTGCAGGCAGCAGCTGGCAAGGCCTGGAGCGTTTATGCAGCATGAATGGAAGCGTCTGTGAGTACAGACAGAACTATAGACTTAGTCTGGTTGACTGGCCTAATTACTTGGAAGACATAGCTAGAGTATTTGCACTGCTGAATGGTTACCACGAGCAAAATAAAACAAGTAAGACTAAAACTGCTCAAAGTGATGGGTTCCTGGGTGTATCTACTGAGCTCTCTGTGCCGGTAGAGATGGCCCCCACTGAGTCGGATGAAGACCCAAGTCTTGTATGGCTGGGGAAGCCCCTCGTTGGACCTTGCCAACCAACTTTCAAACCCTGCATCTGAACCGACCAACATTCAGTCCGGAAAGTAAACTTGAATGAAATAATGACATTCCAGAAGTTGTCTTTGAATTCTGAACACTGGAGAAATCATGAAACTGCCAAATGGATGGAGTGTGAAGAGTTGAATCATCTTGAACCTGACCTCAGTGGTAGTGACATGCCCAAGCTGGTGTTCAAGCCCAGCCCCAGCCTGCAGCCCATCACCAGGCGCCAGAAAGGACCTCCCTGGGATGGTGGCCAAGGAGAAGATGTTTCGAAGATCAGTGTATCTTCCTGTGCACTCTGACGTGGATGCCACTCCTCAGATGGTCAGAGTGTCCACCTTGGAGAAGCCCATCAACTCCAGTAGTATGGAGAGCATGTCGAACAAGGTGGAGAAAAGTCATAGAAGGGGGACTGATTACATGAAATTGTTACCTTACCTAAACACAGTATTGTTTTTAACTTTTCGTTAGTAAACTAATAAAGGCAATCATGACAGCCAACATTCCAAGCTACCCTAGGCACCTACGTGCAGTAGAAGTCAGTGCGCATGTCAGCAAACGCACAGAGACCAGTGTTGTAATTCACTATGTGTCGAGAGTAGGGAGCAGGGTGACGTGTGGATTTTTGTTGGTTTAGGGGATACTAAAACAGTATTATCTTTGGAAAGTTGTAGGGACATGCATCTATACATGCTATCCTAACAAGATGGCTAGAATTGTGCCTTCCTGATTCCCAAAACCGGACCTCCTCCGTGAATCTTCCAACACACTTTCTACTGCCTATGTTGTGTGGTTTGGATTCATTTTAACCACTGGAGTTTTTTGATGCCATCACTTTCTAGGTCACTGATTTTGCACTTTGAGATCGAAATGCCATGTCTCTTTGATTAGTCTTATTTTCTTACAGGCTTCTCACAGTCTCGCTGCTTGTTCTCAGTGTGACAAAGGAAAATAGACCCCCGAGGACAGCACACAGTATGGGTCCCATATTGTTTAACATACTCTTTTGCCAGAAACTATTGCATGTTTTCTCTCGACTTGCTAAACTTGATTAGCAGAAAGGCATGGCTAATGATGCTGGCAGGAAAAACAAATAGGCCAAACAAAGATTGCCTGCTCTCTCTGTGCCTAGCCTCAAAGTGTTCATTGTATGCTTACGATTGCTAAATTTTTATTATTTTCATAACAGGATAAAAGGACTAAAGACTTATTTTTCCATCTTCATTTTGTTTCCTTGACCTGGCCAATAAGCTAAAGGGTTAAGAAAATATATTTCATTTTGAATTTACATAAAATACTTTTCCAGTAAAACACAGTCCTGAATGTGTCACGATTCAAACACACCGTAGGTGTTGTGTGATTACTTCTGAGACCAAGTTCTGATTTCTAAAGGCGTCATTCAAAACTGCTTTTCCCATTGCGTTCTTGAAAATACTCTTTTTCCGTATCAGATTTTTTAAATACCAGCAAAAGGATTACCTCATTGAAAGCTATCAGTATCCTAATCAACTTCTCAGTAATAGCTTAACAGTGATTTTTTTTTTTTAGGTAATACAAACACATAGGTAAATTATGTTTCCTTTAAGTGTTTAAGGTAAACTCTTTTAAAGAAAATTTAATATGTTATAGTTGAATCTTTGATAACTTTAAGTCTTTATTAGAGACTCTGTACATATGTTAAAATTAACTAGCTCCTTATCAGATGTGCGTGTCATTGGCTGAATGGCAGAAGAAACATATTTATGGTCACGAATGATGTGCTTTGTAAAAAGGCTTCAAGTTATTAGGAAGCATACTGTGTTTTTTTAATCTTGTGTAATATTCTGTGATACTTTTATAGAACAATTCTGGCTTCAGGAAAGTCTAGAAGCATTATTTCTTGAAATAAAAGGTGTTTAAACTTTACCTGTTTCAGAGAAATGAACTTCACCAGGTTTTTGTGACACCCCCATGCCTTGCAAGTAAAATCGAGTCCTGATCTCAATTTATGAGATTAAATATTAGCCATATGAGTAAGATGGAGTCAAAGTCGGTATGTTACAGAACAGTGGTCCCCAATCTTTTTGGCACCAGGGACCAGTGGTCGGGGTGGGGGTCAGAGCGGGGCCCGGACAGGAGGTGGGGCTCAGGTGAGCTTTGCTCATGGCCCGGTTCCTACCAGGCCACAGACCAATACCGATCCGCAGCCTGGAGGCTGGGGACTCCCAGTTATAGAACATTCTCATATCAGGGATTACAACACGGGTTTGTCTTGTTGCTGTCAGGAGGCGGTGAGAGGCTGCACTGGGGGTGGCTTTGGGGCATTCGGCCTGGGCAGCTACACAGGGCCAATGCTTAGTTTACCTCTCCAGTGTCGCCATCTTGAAATGCTTCATTGTTTTTTAAAAAGGAGCCCCGCATTTTCATTTGTCACTGAACCCACAAATTATATATTCCAGACCTGGGCAGTGCGAATGAAGTTTTTTAAAAAACACGGGGACAGACCCACCAAAGGCAGTTTGGATTCTTGGGGACCATAAACTTCAGTGGAGACAAAACCACTCTCCAAGACCTCAAGTTTTCTGATCGACAAATTTCATGCTCTGCCTTCTGCTCTAGATCTCCTGGGGTGCTTCCTGTACTCAGGTAGAGCTAACAATCTCAGAAATCAGAAATGCCAGTAATAACAGAAACAAAAGTGGAGGACTTTGGGATCTGCCAGTTGAGTCCTCGGATAGTTGAGGAAACTGTCTGTATTAGGTTGCTGGGGCTGCCGTAACAGAACACCACGGACTGCATGCCTTAAACAACAGAAATTTACTTTCTCACTGTCCTAGAGGCTGGACGCCAAGACCTGTCTGCAGCTGTGGGTCCCCCTGAGTCCTCTCTCCTTGGCTTGTAGGTGGCTGTCTTCTCACTTTGTCCTCACATGGCCTTTTTACTGGTCATGCAGACACCTGCACTCTCTCTCTCTCTCTGTCTCTCTCTCGCCCTCCCTCTTGGACACCAGTTGTATAAGGTTAGGGCCCACACTTATGACCTCATTTCACCTGAATTACCTCCTTAAAAGCCATCTCCAGATGCAGTCACATTGGGGATTAGCACTTCAATATATGAATTCAGAGGGGACACAATCCAATCCAAAACTGCACAGTTTTATCAAGAAGCATCCGAGATGACAATGCTGTCCTAGGGCACACACCTGTGCCTTCCTCCTGCTCCTTTCCTGTAAAGTGGGACCAAGCCAAATGCTGCTGTCCTGGAAAAAATTCCATTTTAGTTCAATTCAATAACTCTGGTGTACCTACTATGTGTAAAGGGTGATTATTTCAGATCTTGACGGGCTCTTAGAAACTGGCCAGTCAACTGGCCTCGATCTGATCTGTGAGGAGGCTGGTGCTCAGAAGGACTGAGGTGACTTTGCATCCACCCATTCCCTGCAGATTTATAAGAGGAAGAGATTTAGCAAAGGTGAAGCCAGCCCCTCCCCACTTTCTCAAAACACACACATACACACCAGATTGGGGAAGAGAGAGAGAGAGGGGCCACTGTGGTACCCCATTCGGTAAAGAGTAATGGAAAGAACAATGAATGTGAAATTAGACCCAACTTCATGGCAAACTCCTGATTTTTACTCTCTATATGAGCTTGGAAAAGTCACATAACCTCACTAAATGGAGCTGCTTCGGTTGTAAAACAAGAAGTTTGAATTGAAGATGGAAAATGCATAGCACATGTGCTTTCTCTTCCCAAAATGTGCCCAAGGAAGACATTGCTAATGCATCGGGACACCTTTCCATTAAGCCAGAGCATCTGGGCCCTTAGAATCCTTCTCGATGCAGCTGGCTGTTGCTCCGACCAGCTATCACCAACACTGCTGATTAGGTGTTGGCGTGCACGACGGGAACCTACCTGCCACACCCAAACCAGAAAATACCTGAGGCCCCACTCAGCCTTCCAAAAAGAAAAAAGCTACCATCACCAGCATCTGCGGGGGGTGGGGGTGGTGATAGAAGGAATGAATCCTTACCACTCCTATTCCACACCAAACATACCTAAACTTGTTGACCTTCTAAAGAAGATTCTACTTTTCTTCTTTTAATTGAATTCATTGGGGTGGCATTGGTTGATAAAATTATATAGATTCCAGGTGTACAGTTCTGTAATACATCACCTGTATATTGTATTGTGTGTTCACTCCCCCAAGTCCTCTTCTTCCATCACCATGTATCTACCCCCCATAACCTCGCCTACCCCACTTTCCCTCTGGTAATCACCACGCTCTTGTCTGTGTCTATGAGGGTTTTTTCTTAATCCCTTCACTTTTTTCACCAAGGCCTGCAACCCCCTCCCCTCTGACAGCTGTTGGTCCATTCTCTATTATGAGTCTGTTTCTATTATTTTTTTATTCTGTTCATTACAGCTCACATGTAAGTGAAATTATATAGTATTTGTCTTTCTCTGACTGGTGTATTTCACTTAGTGTAATGTTCTCCAGATCCGTCCATGCTGTTGCAGAGGGTAAGATTTCCTTCTTTTTATGGCCAAGTAGTATCCCATTGTCCTGAAGATTTTTAAATGCTTATTTTTAAGGACTTGCTTTAGAGCTGATATGATCTCAGATTAGTCCAATTCTATTTGATACTTTCAAATTGTATTTTAATAGAAATCAAGTATCTTCAGTTGGTAATTAAAATACTTTGGGCAGCCCTGACCAGCGTGGCTCAGTTGTTTGAGCATCATCCTGCAAAGTAAAAGGTTGCCAGTCTGATTCCCAGTCAGAGCACACGCCTGGGTTCAGCCTGGTCCCCAGTTGCGGGGATGCAAAAGGCAACCCATTGATGTTTCCTTCACACATCAGTGTTTCTCTCCCTCCCCCCTCCCCCACTTCCCTTCTCTTTAAAAACAAATAAAATAAATTCTTTTAAAAATACTTTGGGCAAAAATACGACCTTGATGCGGCCCCCCAGCCCGGTGGACCCCCTCGGGCCCCCATGACTAATAGAAGCTGCTGTGGAACCTGTACCGGCCCCTCAGCCCCTTTCTCATCTCCAGCCTCTCCCAGCTCCAACACATCCGCCTCACACTCTCTGCCAGGCGAGTCTGTCACGGCCATGGCTCAGATCTCAGCCTCCGACTCAGGAATCTTCAGTGGTTGTCTACTGTCTTCGGTGAAGCTCTAGCCTTTCACCCACCCACCTGCTCCCCCTCCAGCTCAGCTGCTGCTCCCAGCTTCCCCTGGGTTCTCACCACCTTCCCAGGTCCTGCCTCGGCCCGCGAGGCAGTCAACGGGGTCCGCCGATATACCTGTAACGGATGAAGGGGGATGGGACAGGAGGCGCGAAGAATGGCAGCAAGACAAAGGATTCTGATCAAGCTGCAAATTTTATTTCAAAATGGAGGGAGTTATATAGAGGAGGGCAGTGGAGGAAGTGCAGTGGATAGGTGGCTTCAAAGCGTGCTCTAGCCTGCGATTGGCCGGGGGGGTGCGTGGCGGGAGCGTGATCAAGGCACTGATTGGTGTGCCACCCGCATGTCCAGGAGGGGGAGTTCTATGGCTCCTAACCGCAGCGTCCTGTTATTCAGGCGCAACCTTCAGGTCGGATTGTATCAGCCTGTTTCAGGCTTATCCCAGCCCCCAACAAGGTCCGAAGTTTTCTCCTATTTCCGTCTGCCCTTCTGGGGTTTATCCTCATTTCCCATCCCAACCTGCAGAAATTTCATCCATCCCTCGATTCCCATATTATTTGAAGTTGTTGCTTTTTCTTCCCACATAAACTTTCCTGGACTCCTCCACCCCCAGAAATAATATCTCCCCCATTTTACACTCTCCCCCAGGTGAGGAAACACTGATGTTATACCAAGTCTGGGGCCAACCGAGTGAGAATAGCTGGCCACAAACATAACCTTGCTCTTTCCCCCACTTTGGACCCAGAAACTCACCTAATACTCCCCGCCCTGGCAACCACCGCTGCACTTTTCTGTAAAGGAATTTTAACTCGATGTGCAATGTAGTTAAATGGCCACGAAACAGCACGAGGACATCAAGATCATGAGGGCCATTTCAATCCTATGATGACAACCTTAAGGCTGTAACTAGAGAGACAGTAGGATTTCTCAGCCTCTCCTGACATTTCGGGATGGATATTTCTTTGCTGTGGCTGTTGTCCTGTGCACGGCAGAACGGTTAACACCATCCCCGGTCTCTGCCTTCCAGATGCCGTGTACCCGCACACCCCCACTTGTGACACCCCAAAATGTCTGCAGACACTGCCAACTGTCCCCAGCACTTGCAAAGTCACCTCTGACTGGGAACCCCTGATACAGAGATGGCATCAAAGTGCCGAAACAGGCCTGAACGTTCAAGTTTACTTGACTAGATATGTCTGTCTGAAAATGATAAAAAAAAATGTGTGTATTGGTCACCTAAGTGTGTTGTGGTGTTGAACATGCAGCCAGCATAATACCTTGGGCCACATAGCGAGCCCACTACTGTAGGAGGTGAGAGAATGGCTTTAAGAAATCAGAATTTTTCCTGCCGGGATTGGAACGTCCCTGATCCCAGATGTTAGGGAAGCCCCGCAGAGAGCTGGGGACAAAAGGAGCTACAGATGCTGAAGCCTTTCGTGCTGAGCACTGCCTCTCCTCCGCTGGCCTACGCTCTGAATTTTCAGCCCCCACACCGGTCAGCCTCCTCGGACTCCAGATTCTGGAGCCCAGAATCTGCATCCTCTCCCGCAAGCCTCTCCTCCTGCATTACCCCACCTCTCAGCCCCAACAGCGCAGGTGACCCAGAACCAGAGTGGAGCCGATCCAACCACTGCTAGGTCTCAGCACAGGAGGAGATGTCATAGACTTCACCACCTTAGTATGTATGTGGTCACTAAGGCCTCACACAACTCAAGTCCAGGAACCAAAAGGGCCCA